TAAAAGGTGGCCCAGAGGGCATGGAGGATGTGTGGAGCACATTTTCCTAGGGGGTGCCAGGCTGGGGCCAGATAGAGTGAGGGCTGCTATCAGGGTCTTCCTCCTTCAATTCAGAGCTGCCCTACAAAGTGGCGATGGAGTCCGTGGGCGGGAACCTTACAGGCGTCCCCCCCAAACTTTCCCAACAGAGGAAATCGGAGTGGAAAATGCTCTCGGAGATGCAGGCCTTGTGCTTGGCCCTCAGAAGGGGCCCCCCGGGCCACTGATTTCTCCCAGCAAAGGAAAACTAGGCCAAGGTGAGCTCTGCTCACACCGGGTTGTTTTAGGAGGAGAAGAAGGCCTGGTCGGGGCTGTGGGCGTGGCCCTTGCCTCAGCAGGCTCCCCGTGAGGACATGAGGCTCATGGCCACTAGCCAGGCTCACCCCACCTCCTCCAGGAAGCCTTCTTGACTTACCAGGTTGGGCACAGCAGGTGCCCAGGAGAGGTGTGCTGACCGGCCTGCCCTATCCAAACCACTCCACCTATGTGGGGCTCTCCTGTCACCGATGAGCAAGGCCAACTTTCAACAACTGAAATGGTGGGATCAGGCAGGCCTGTGCACTCAGCATTCTCCTTACAGTACTACAGAGGAGGAAACGGGCAGACAGATACCTGCAACCATCACTGTCACAACACGTTACCTGTTACCATCACGGGCACGACAGGTACAGGTGACCATCACCATCATCATGAATACCTGCAGACCATCACCATCGTGACAAGTATCTATGACTACCAACGTTATGGCAGGTACCTGCAGACCACCACCATCACGCCGGCTACCTGCAGACCACCACCATCACGCCGGCTACCTGCAGACCACCACCATCATGCTTGGTACCTGTGACTATCACCAACATGGCAGGTACCTGCGGACCATCACCTTCACAATGAGTAGCCCTACAGGACACAACCTTTATTAGACTTTGCTCCTTGTCCTCAAGCCCAAGCCCTACACAAAACCAAGACCTCCATTCCTCTTGGGTGTCCTGGATTCTGGCTCACCTGTGGCTTTTCTATACTACATGATCAGCACTGGGCAGGTGGCCAAGTTTTTTTTTTTTTTTTTTAAATCATCACTTGGCCTAACAGACTATGCTTAAGGGAGGCCCATCAGTGGCAAGACAGGCCCATTGCCAAGGAAAATTCCGCAGGCCTTCCTGGGTCTCAGTGGATGCACAGGCCTGGAGTCAGACAGGCCAGACCCACCAGGATCTCCTCCGCACCTGTGAGCCAGATCTGATTTCTGTCCTCTCTGAGGGGGTACCTGCCACAGGCACTAGAAGTAAACAAGGCCATGCTCTAAAGCAGTGGCCTTTGAAACTCTTCACTCACGTGCCCCCCCAAAATAAATCTTTAGAACCGTGTATCCATTTGCACTTTTTAAGCTGACATCTAAAATTTCTCATCATAAGTCTAAATAGTTGCAGAGGATGTAATTTCCAACATAACATAAATATTAACATTTTAAAATAAAACTGTTAGTCTTTGTCTTTTAAATGGATCCAATGGAATCTAAATACCACAGCAATTTGAGATTCAACATCATCTATTTTAAAATTACATAATCAAGCTCTTCTTTAACAGTTGGAAATGTAACAACGTTCCCTTTTCCTCCTGGAACTCGGATTTCCAACCTACTTCCCTCAGGGATGTTTGTGTTTTATGTTTGAAAGAGTTTTACTGATCATCCTATTAAGCTGTTAGGCAAAACTAAACAACTGTATATAAAAAAAATCAAACCCGCTGCCGTCGAGTCAACTCCAACTTATAACGACTCCATAGGACAGAACAGAACTGCACCATAGGGTTTCCAAGGAATGGCTGGTGGATTCGAACTGCCAAACTTTTGATTAGCAGCCACAGCTCTTAACCACTGTGCCACCAGGGCTACAACTGTATATAGACGCTTTAAATTTTTTTTAATTTCATGTCACTATAAAGCTCTAATTGTTAGTTTCTCTTCTGCACTGAATTATCATTATGATTACTATTAATACACAACTGATCAATACAACGGAAATACATTACAAATTTGTAAAAATAATAAAAATAAAAAACAAAACCTTATTAGAAATACACCTCTGGAGAGATAAATGGGAATTTTAAAAAAAAATTATGTCATGTATCCACAGAAAAATATTACCTATTTCTAGAATAAGAAGTTTAGTATCAAGTCTATTTCTATCTTTCAATTGTTATAGATAGGAATACTGAAACCACTTATTCAAAGAGATAAAAAAGATAGCCTGGAGAGATTTACTATAGCACATTCTTTGAATTCCTTTAGAACTCAATGCCAAGAATCACAGTTCTCTATTATCAAAAAACAGCTTTAATGCTCTATCAGCTGACCACTGCATCGGGTCCTCTTTCAATTTTGTTGCAAGTGGAAAATTGGAAAAACTTGACATGCCCAAGGATTAGAAAGACAGGGCACTTTACTTGGCGCCCAGAGGGTTCTATGCTTGGTGTCAGGCACCACTGCTCCGGTCTGGCTGTGGGTCGTGAGAGTGCCTGCTTCTCCTGGAAGTAACCAGCTTCCCATGTGCCAGGCACTGCGCCAAGCACTTTACCTGAATTAACTAGTCTGTTCAACAATCCCCAGAGACAGGCACCACTATCATCCAGTTTTACAGGTGCGGAAACTGAGGCACAGAGTGGGCAGGCAACTGGCCAAGGTCACACAGCCAGTGACTGAACCCAGGTGGTCTTGCTCCTGACCCTATGTGTACTGCCTCTGTAGGGATGGGAGGAAGGACGCTGTGAGAGGGGCAGCTGGGAAGGAAAGTTTACAGCTCGTTCCCAAGCAACCACAGCTGTGGGAACGAGCCTGAGGAAGTTGGAGACTGGCAACATTTCCTCTGTTAATTATAGTCCCCTCTCACCTTGGAGGAGCCCTGGTGATGTAGTCATTAGATCAGCTGCTAACCCAAGGGTCGGCAGTTCAAATCCACCAGCTGCTCTTTGGAAGCCCTATGGGGCAGTTCTACTCTGTCCAGTACAGTCACTATGAGTTGGAACTGACTTGACAGCAACAGGTTTTTTGGTTCTCACTTTGGAAAGGTTAAATGCAAATGCTTCTTTAAAGTAAAGGGCATCCATGCCTGGTTCACCATTGTTGCCGTCAAGCCTATTCTGACTCATGGCGACCCCATGTGTACAGAGTAGAACTGTGCCCCATAGGGTTTTCAATGGCTGATTTTTTCAGAAGTAGATCATCACGCCTTTCTTCCAAGGCACCTCTGGGTGGACTCAAACCTCCAGCTTTCAATATGCAGCTGAGCACTTAACCGTTTGTGCTACCCAGGGACTCCAAGATTCCCATTACTGTCGTTAGCTGCCATCGACTCTGACCCATGGCGACCCCGTGTGTGCAGAGTAGAACTGCTCCATAGGGTTTTCAAGGCTGTGACCTTTCAGGAGTAGATAACCAGGCCTATCTTCTGAGGCACCTCTGGGTGGGTTCAAACCGCCAATCTTCTGGCTAGCAGTCAAGTGCTTAACCAACCGTTTACGCCACCCAGGGACTCCATGTAGCACGTGATAAATGTTAAACCCTGATTATTACTAATATCACCACTAAAGAGCAGGAAGAGAAATAACTACCACAACTGGGGCAAGCGTTTAGGCTCTTAGTAGCATTTTACATTCCTGACCCTGGATTCCTACATCCTTTTCTTAGGTGGCAGCCAAATACCAGGTAATAATAGGCACGAAAGCATTTAGTCCACAGAGCAGTCTATTCACAAGCAGAGGAGAGCCGTTTGTCAGAAAGACCATGGGCTCTGGAGACAGACAAGACGTGCAGTCAAATCCCAACTCTACCACTTACCATCTGAGTGACTCAGGAGGTGTCCCAACATCGTGAGCCTCAGTTTCCTCATCTATTAAATGGGCATGATCACACCACTCACATCACTAGATGGCTGTACAAAATAGTGGGCCTGATACGGCAAACACCAGGTAGTGGCTAGTGGTATGATCATTTCATCATCTTCAGTCATTAACACTGGGACTGAGGGACTCTGATGAGATGCCAGTCCCAGCACCCAGGTGCCCACCGGCCTGGGGATCTGGCGTACAGAAGCCTGCCTCTTCAGCAAACCTGCCAAGTGGCCTGGCTTCCAATTTTTGCAAAGAGCCTTTCTCTCTGTCTTGAAATTTAATGCTCCCCAAACACTCAGGGATGCCAGGAGTAGGCGCACAGAGACGTCGTGGTGGGTTTTATTTTTAGATGCCTGGGTGGAACGCGTCCAGTTTGGCTTCACGCTGGCCCTGCACCCGCACAGCCTCCCCCAAGTCATCATAAAAGTGAACAGCAGACACATCAAGAAATATTTCACAACTCTTCCTCTGCCTGGTGTACTCCAAAGCAATGGCTCCAGCCTCCTGTTACACCCACAGACTAAGTGGACTAAAGGGTTTAATCTCCATCCTCCCGGGAAGTCACATAAAACAAAGCCACCGTTCCCCTGGTTGCCTCTCACATTCTGAAGCAGGTGCCCACCGGTGCCCTGCTCACGCCTCACCGAGTGTGATCAGAAATCAGGTATTGGGGGAGGGATAGTTTCCCCCCGTTCCAGGTAGTGTATTTGTTGCTGAGCACGTGAATGCACTTCCTCTAAAATGGCACCCAACAGAAATTTCCTTGTGGACTCTGGCAAGTGGCTGTGGCTAACCACAGGAAAGCACCGTGACCTTTAGCACCCCCTACCCCACTCCCACCACGCACTCACCCAAATCAACCCCTCTCTTCCCTGCGAGCTCCTTCCACCGACAAAACCACAGTAACTCTTCAATCCAAGCAAACAGGGCAGGAATCATGTCAAATTCCACAAGGGAAACAAGATGCATGTGAAAAAGGGGCTAAGCACCGAGATTCTTAAAGCAAAAAGGGAAAGTTGGGCATTAAAAGGCCACTTGACCTGAAAAAGGGTCATGACGTGGTCTGTACTCACCTGCACGACTTCTATCCCTCGCTTCCTGTGGAGAAAAAAAAGAAAAGCAGTGTTACTCCAGCGGGCAGAAAGCATTCTTTCTGGAACATTCACTGTAGTCAGCTGAAGGCAGGACCATGAGGAGAGCTGGTGGCTGCACCTCTCATACCAAAGTCACCAGAATGGTCTCATTTTTAAGGGGAAGGTGTATGAACTCCCAGGCACCCCTGAAAGCCATTTTCTGGCAAAAGAGACAGTTGGTTCCCATAAGGGACTTGGCTGGGGTCCTACGGAGACCCCAAGTCTGCTCATTTTCCTTACAGCCAGCCCTCTCCCTTTCTAATCCTGGGGCCAGGCCTTCATTGGTGGAGCTCCAGCCTGGAATTCCCCAAGACTCTCCCCCACGGCCCACTGTATTCATGACCTGACGGCCTAGCCATCCCTTCTTAACTCAACCACCTCCATGGCTCTCCATTTCCTCCAGAACACTTGGCCTTGCCCCCTATGTATGCCACATGCTGCCACAGCCCAGCCCAGCCACTCTCTTGTGCAGGAAGCCAGGGTCTTCCCTGGCCCCAAACCCTTCCCAGTCCTGCTCCAGTTGCTTTTCCAATCCTATGGCCATACCTGGCCGCCACTGACACCGCACTCATCCTTTGGCCCCTAGTTAAACCAACCCCACCCACCTACCCAATAAGCCCCAGGCCTGGACACTGTAATCTCCACCTCTCTCTCCCTCTTTCTCACAAGGCAGCGGTGGTAGGGTGGTAGAATTCTCGCCTTCCATGCAAGAGACCTGGGTTCGATTTCTGGCCAATGCACCTCATATACAGCCACCACCTGTCTGTCAGTGGAGGCCTGCATGTTGCTATGATGCTGAACATGTTTCAGCAGAGCCTTTAGACTAAAACAGACTAGGAAGAAAGGATGGGCACTCTAATTCCAAAAATTGGCCAATGAAAAGTCTAGGATCATGATGATGGTCAGATCCACTGTACGTGGGGTCACTATGAGTCAAAGCCAACCTGACAGCAGCTAACAACAACTCCCTCTCACCCACTCCACAGCCACTGCTTCTTCAGGCTTCAGGATCTATGCACAAAGGCACGCTGCTGTCCCACCCTCTGCCCTCACCTCCCCGACCCAGCATTTCTGACTGCAGGTACCACATACTTTCCATCCAAGTCTTTAGGGTTCCACTCAGGCAGACCTCCAGGAAGCCCTCCCTCACCCACAACACTCACTCCCCCACCTACACACACACAGTCCAACCCTGGAGCTACTGCTCGCCTGTCCCCTAGCCAGGGTTCTGACTGGCTGTTTACTCCAGGGCTACCGGGTGGAAGGACCCAGGAGCTACAGCGCCATGGGTGTGCCACCACTGTGTCTGCCTGCACTCAGCTGGGAAGAGAGGCAGGGCCTCCGGAAGAGCCACAGAGGAGCTGTGACCGAGGAGCACTATGCAGCTCTCAAACAAGCAAAAAAGTGGAGTGGGTGGGCGCAAGAGTGCCAAGATATTATACGTGAAAAAGCAAGGTGCAGAACAGTACGCAGAGCGCAACCCTTCATATTAAAAACAAGGGGAAGAAGGGAGGGGGAATCACTTTCTAGACAGTAGACACTTGTTAGTTTTGGTGATGGGTAAGGCAATATCAAGAACGGTGAAGTCAGCATAACACGACCGAGGTAAAAGATGACAGTAAGAAGTACACAAGAATAAGGGGTGATTTTGATAAAAGCCACAACATATACAATTTTGCAACAGTAATAACAATCAAAAAATATGTGTGTGGTTACACAGGTAGATATGCATGCTTACATACATATAGGTAAGCACATATGAATATATGGGTGTGCATATATAGGTGTTTCTATAAGCAAATGTATGTACATGTTTGTGCGTGCTGCATATATATTCAAATGTAAAATAAAGCACACAAGGAGCACAGTTATGGATACTCCCTAGAAATAACCAAACACCTCATGGGATTGGGTTACTGGGTTTGAGGGCTTAGGACCATAGTTTTGGGAGGCAACTTGGTCAACTGGCATAACATAGTTCATAAAGATAAGGTTCTACATCCTAGTTCAGGGAGTAGCGTCTGGGGTCTTAAAAGCTTGCAAGTGGCCATCTAAGATACAACTATTGGTCTATACGTGTCTGGATCAAAAGAGAAAGAAGGAAACCAAAGACTCAAAGAAGAAACTAGTCTATAGGACTAACAGTCTACATGAACCACAGCCTCACCTACCCTGAGACCAGAAGAACTACATGGTGCCCAGCTACCACTACCAACCATTCTGATCAGGGACACAATAGATGGTCTCAGACAGAATGGGAGAAAAATGGAGAATGAAACTCAAATTCCTAAAAAGGTCAGACTTACTGGACCAGTAGAGACTAGAGGAACCGAACCCCAAAACTATCACCCTGGGATACTCTTTAAACTTGGAACTCAAACCACACCTGGTGGTCACCTATCAGCCAAAAGACAGAGCGGCTCATAAAACAAATTAATCTCACCTGTGAGTACTGTGCTCCTCTAAACAATCATCTAAATGAGACCTACAAATCAACATTTACCCGAGACCAAAGATGAGACGGTAAGGGGGGACAAGGAAGCTGGGCAGGTGGGGATGTGCTTTATTATTCATGCAACTTTTTAAACATTTTCTAATTAATTATGAACTATAAAAATGTGTTAACTATCTGAGTGTGTAGCCCTGGTGGCGCAGTGGTTAAGAGTTCGGTTGCTAACCAAAAGATCAGCAGTTCGAGTCCACCAGCTGCTCCTTGGAAACTCCATGGGGCAGGGCTACTCTGTCCTATAAGGTTGCTATGAGTCAGAATCAACTCGACGGCAAAGAGTTCAGTCTTTATATGAGCGTATATGTGTATTTTTAAATTTACAGGCAATAAAAGAACCAGGAATGTCTAGGCAGTACCAGGATCACACGAGCTGGCGTGGAAGGCAGCCAGGATTGTGAAGGGTTGGGAGCCCCTTCGTGAAGGAAACAGGATGGACATGGAGGGTGAGGGGAAGGAGTGACTGGAGAATGACAGCCACCTTCAAAGGCAGAAAGTGCTTTCCAACAGGGAGAGCTGGTCAGTCATGGAGCAAGCCATGGGGAGTATGGGGGAGGTTCCTGCACGGGTACTCTGGAATCCACCAGGAGGCCTGCAGTGCACATAAGGACACCCTGGAGAGCTATGGTTTCAAACTGCTTTGCACACATAACCTCTCTTCGTTCATTAGCTCATTCAACAAGTGTTCTCTGAGCGCGTTCTGAGAGCCAGGCCTTTACTAAACTCTCCCGAGGAAGCCACTATAAGATGGTAAGACGGGTCACAGAGAGCTGGCCGGGTCACACTGCAGGAGTGCCTAGCTGGCCTTCCCCTCACCTCCCACCCCAAGATGCCTGACAGAACCTTGGGCGCCGAAGAACTCCGTTGAAAACCACTGCAAGTGATGCTTTCCCAGCTCCATGCCATCATTCAGCTTCTCTGCGATTCTGGAAGGAAAGGAGGCCAATAGCCACATGCTTCTGTGACTTCATGAGGGAAAGGCTGACACTCAGCAGTAGCCCTGGGCCAGACTGAAGGGCAGACAGTGCTGGGACACACAGCATCACAAGGAGCCTGCGCCACACCCAACTGTGGGCACCCTGGAGCCCTGTCTCACACGCCCATCCTCCTGGCCCCGCTGAGAGCTGAGAGAATGGAAGTGAACTCCAGTGAGAAGCACCGTGCCCAAGGTCACCCAGCTCACCAGATTAGGCTTCGAGCCCGGGGGTTCTCACTCCCAAAGCGTGGCTCTTCGCCTGCCCCTCCTGTGTGGAAATCCCTAACAGCTGAGAGAGAAATCCCACCACGAAGCCTGACTGAGAATGTGGAGTGCACAGCAGGAAAGGCACCGAGGAGGCAGAGACACGCGTGCACATGACACGCCAGTGGGGAGGGCGCCCCTACACACCCCAGTTAATCCTCGCGGCATCCAGATTAGCCGGCGTGCAGCTGGCACCTCCTTAGAAGCCAACTGCGGTCACTTCCCTTCAGTCCGCCCTTCACATCACCCCAGACAGCGCTCCCTCCCCAGTCCTAAAACAGACCTCTAACTTTGAATGGATGGAACAGGTAAAACAAGAGAAAGCAGCAAAAAACATAGGCTTGAAACAGCTAGACTGAAAATCTTAAGTGGGTTATTTTCTCTGTAGCCCAGAGCTCCAAGGAGCAGCATAAATGGGGAGCTCTGACCCTGGTGGCATAGTGGTTAAGAGCTACGGCTGCTAACCAAAAGGTCGGCAGTTTGAATCCACCAGCCACTCTTTGGAAACCCCATAGGGCAGTTCTACTCTGTCCTATAGGGTCACTACAAGTCAGAATCAACTCGACGGCAACGGGTTTGTTTTTTGTTTTTTGTTTTGGTTTGGCCAAAAAGAAGGGCTCACATGCCCCTCCATCCACATCAGGCCACAAAGGCTCCCTAAATGCCCTTGATGGTGATAAGAGCTAAGGTGTATTACTGCTCATGGACACCTTACATGAGGCAGGGCTATGGAGACTCATTATTCAGATGAACAAGGCCAGGCGGGGCAGGAGCTGGCTCAGGGCTGGCTCTCCTCACGCCCACTCAGTGCTGGAGCCACTGCCACACACAGCTGGCTTCGGAGGCACCCACAAGGGGCACCTGGTCTCCATCCTCCAGGGCCTCACAGTAATGGGGCAACCAGGAAAGTGTAGGCGGAAAACACATTCCCTCGGGTGGCGAAATCCTATGCTCGAGAAAACAAAATGGAAACCTGTCTGGACTCGTTTCTTTATCTGGAACTTCTGCAGAACAAAGATACCAAAAACCTTGATTTCCCAAGGGGCGGGTTCCTGAAATCCGGCCATAACCAGAAAGTTTAGAAACTGAATCATGAAAGAGAAGGGGGGGAGGGGGCAAGGAGGGGAAAAGAAACCAGAGAAGTGGTTGTCAAGTGATTAACTGCGACTCTTGAAAAACCCCAACTCCACCATCCTACTTCATCACCCCACAGACACAC